GCCAAACTCAGGGCCCCAAGCTACACCATCGAGGATGGCAAACTCTACAAACGGTCCTATAATGGCACTCTCCTCCGGTGCCTGCACCAGGACGAGGCCGACACCGCCATGGAAGAAGTTCATTGTGGCGTCTGCTCCTCACACCAGGGCCCTTTCAGCATGTCCCGACGTCTCGTCGTCCAGGGTTTCTTCTGGCCGACGATGGCGCGCGACTGCGCTGACCTGGCTAGGAAGTGCACCACATGCAGGGTGCTCCAGAAGGCCCCTGGTCGGCCAGCTGTCAATTACGCCCCTGTCAGCACCGCAATTCCATTCTCCAGATGGGGGATTGACCTGGTCGGTCCCCTACCCAGAGCCGCCGGGAACAACCGCTACATCATCGTCGCCGTCGACTACTTCACCAAGTGGGTCGAGGCGGAGCCCTTGGCCAGCATCACGGGGGCCAGATGCCAGAAATTTGTTTACAAGAACATCATCACACGCTTTGGCGTCCCCCAGGAGATCATATCAGACAATGGCACCCAATTTGAGGCGGCCCCTTTCCAAGAACTCCTCCGGGAGTTTGGGGTGAAGCATCGTTTCTCCTCCGTTGCCTACCCTCAGGGCAACGGGCAGGTCGAGAACGCCAACAGAACAATCATGGAGGGGCTGAAGAAAAACCTCCAGGCCGCAGGAGGTAGTTGGGTCGACGAGCTCCCCAACATCCTGTGGTGGTACAGAACCACGCCGAGGAGGGCGACAGGTGAAACGCCTTTCGCCCTATGCTACGGCTTCGAAGCAAAGGCGCCCACGGAAGTGGCCATCCCCAGCCGGCGGGTGGAACAATACGAGCCTGACGCCAATGAGGAAAGCATGAAGATTGACCTGCACTTGGTCGATGAGAGGCGTGAGCAAGCTTACGTCCGAGCAGAGAACTACCGGCGCCAAGTAAAATCATACTACGACGCCAAGGTACGTTCCCGGGAATTTCAGGTGGGGGACTACGTCCTCCGCCGAAGGGAAGCAAGCCAGCCGACAGAGGGTGGCAAGCTAGCATTGAAGTACGAAGGGCCCTACATCGTCAGTGCCGTGGTCAAACCCGGCACCTACAAACTTAAACGACCGAATGGGTCCAATGTACCACGAACATGGAATGTACATCATCTGGTGAAGTTTTATCAGTAATCCGAAGGAGGTGTAGACGGCGAAGCCCTCACCCCTTAACGGGTTACTGATTGAACGCCACCCTCGGCCTCGAGCCACTTATGAATAAAATCACGTTCTGATTCTCTGGAATTCAAAGTAAAACATTGGCAGGTGCCCTCGTCGGCCACCTTAGAGCGAAAGGCTCAGGTCTGGCCAACATGGCCCCTCGCATTTGCAGCCTACGAGCGACAAGCTCAGGCACTCCATTGTATTTTGTATCAGCGAAGGGCTCAGGCCCAGCTGAGAGAGCACATCGTCCTGGCCCCGTAAGCCTAGCAGTGAAACGCTCAGGTATGGCCGACGATGTCCCCAGGACGAGGGGCCCGCAAACGGCCCACGTCTTGAAACGGGAAGCTCACCGCGTCGTCCACGCGCCAGATCGCAGGACGACAGGCCTGAAATCAAGGCCGAGGTGACAAAATCCCAAAACTCAGGGATGGGCAACGACAGCCGTTGGAAACCGACCAAAAGTCTAGCCCGCGTCATAAATAGGCGATGGGATTCGCCCTGAGACCACGGACGTTATAAACGAAGTCCGAACCGGCCGAAGGACGAGCACACCCTTCGGCCGAAGCCTGAAAGAAGGATACCCCCCGAAACGAAAAAAAAAATTTATAAGGGAAAAAGAGGGAAGCCGACGGTCGTGCACACTGGCCGGCCTCGAGCAATGAAAAATAAAATCCCCACAATGCAGGCCCAGTTTGGTCAAGTACATATCAGTTGAACACAAGTTTAGTACCACTAACAGGTAGCATGGACGACACGCCCACACACCATGAGGGAACAATCAAGGCCGAAACACAGGCCTACAAAACCCTAACCGCATCGGTTGGGTGACAAGCGAGAGGTGACCCTCATCGGCCATACTCCCTTGAGGCACCAACGCTTGGTATGAAACAAGGCATCGCAATCCTGAGGATGACCAGGACGAAGTGGGCACTGCACACACCCGCGGAAGAATAGCCGATACAGGCACTGGAACCAAGGCTGTCGGTCAAGCGAAAGTTCTCTGGAAATTGGTTCAAGTGTTTACCAAACACTTAGAAAAACTCCTTTGGCCGACAGCGGTACCACAAAGAAGTAAATGCCCGACATTTACACTTGGAAAATTCTCTAAGTACTCAAGTGGAAGAACTCTGGACGAAGCGGGTACATATATATTCCAAGGCCGTTAGCTACCTACGCCCTACATGTGTATTTAAAAAAATTAGAAGTCCAAAAGACCAAGGTGAAGGTGCCCTTATCGGCCACAACACAGGAATGCAGGCCGACAACGACACTGGTTCAACACTTGGCAAATCACCCCAACCATTCGCCAATAATGGGGAGAGGCTAAACCCCATGGACGTAGCGGACACCACGATCAAGGGCAAAAGGACGTAGCCAAGGACCACCGGTCAAGCCGACAAGGCCACCAGGCCGAAAGGAAAGCACCTAAGTGGATCCCAAAACACTTAGAAAATTTTTGACAAAAATCCTCCATGTTATGAAATTACGTCCAGGCCGATCAAGCCACTAGGCCGTAAAGACAGCAGCTGCATGGACACACACTTGGGAAATTCTTAAAAAAAAAAAAAAAATTCCTAAGTGTAAGGCAAAGATGAATAGGCCGACCAGACTACTGGACGGGAAGGCCAACCTCACGGACGTAGCGGACACTCGCGGGTGACCCAAGTTATGACTTGATACTTAGACAATTTATAGAATTGAAATGACAACGCAAACAAGCATGCAATGGATTCAAAGCCGAGAAGGATGGCAAAAATTCTTTCATTCAATTAGTTCATTACAATGGGGGGCACTTCGGCCGTTACATAATTTGGCAACAAATGAAAAGCTAACTACAGTAGGGACTAGCCGATCAAGCCTCCGGGGCTGGCTCTTCAACCTCATCAGCTCCCTCTTCGTCCTCAGCTTCTTGGCCGGCAGCAGGTGCAGCACTGGTAGCATCATCAAGGAAGTCGAACTCAGTGTAGTCCGGCTCGCCGAGGCCGGAGCTTTCTATGGGGGCCTCCCGCTACGACAGCGGAAGCTTGGCCTGCTCTTCGGGATCCTTCATCAGCTTTGGCAGCTTCAGGTTCCGTCTAGCCCATCCAGACGTGTAATTCATGGCCTTCAACGCCCGGGATAGCCGCCGACACAGGAGCCTTTGCATCCGCTCCTGGCCCAGGTTGTAGTAAACGGACATCTCCCAGCTGAAATACTCCCGGCCGGCAGGGGAGTTCATCCCCCAACTCTCCAGCCTGGCGGCCACCACTTCGTAGCACCAGGGGAGCCTCTCATCGGCCTTCCACCCCTCGGCCAAGAACTTCTCAATGGCCTCATCGGCAGCCTTCACGACGGCGGCCTCGGCCTCAGCCTTCGCCTTGGCGGCCTCCTCGCTCCTGCGCTTCTCGGCCTCAAGCGCCCTGCGGGACTCCGCGAGCTCCCTTCTGCTCTCTTCGAGCTTGACCAGGGCATCGTCCCTGGCCGCGACGGCTTCATCAGCTTTGGCCTGCAGCGCCTTGGCATCCTCACGGAGCCGGTCAAGGCAAGCTACCGCCTCGTCGGCCGAGGCAGCCTTCTGCTCCAGCGCTTGCAGGCGGACAATCTCCCAGTACTGCCTCTTGTGGCTTTCCATAAGCATGAAGGCACTCTGCAGAAGGAAAACAAAGGTCATGCCACAATCTCTACATAGACGAAGGGAGACAAAAATATAAGGACAGTCACTTACTTGGACGAGGAGATCCATGCCGCCCTCATAAATCTTCGGGTCCTCGAGCTTCTTCAAATGAGCCCGATCTTTGGCCGGCATGGCCTTGGCCAGGACGACGTGGCCGGGGACGAGCTCATTAAACACGCCGCCGCCGACGGGGTACTCTATCACTTTCTGATAGGTGTCACCGGCGATCTCCTTGCCGGCCCTCTTCGTCCGTGGTTCCTGGACGAGAGGCAGCGCTGGGGCGGCATCACCAGCAACAGTAAGGTCCACGACGGGACCACCATTGCCCACGCTGGGGACAGTAAGCGTACCGGCCTCACTGGCCGGAGAAGGGGAAGGAGCCCTCTTCGTCTTCTTAGAGACGCTCACGCCGGCCTCGGTCAACTTTTTCTGGCCGTCAGTGGCCGGTCTCTTTTTCTTGGATGGGGCAGGCTTTGGGGCCGCATCTGCAGTTGCCCCGCTCCCACCGGCCGCGGCACGCCTGGCCGCTTCGGCCGCCTTAGCAGCAATCTCCTCGGCCGCTTTGGCCTTCGCAATGGCCATCATGGAACGGCGGTCCATGACAAAATCTACAAGGGAAAAACACACAGATTAGTAAGGCAAAGGACAAAACATAAAGACAGAAAGCCGAAGAAAGAATTACCATCGGCCTCAGCAGGAATGCCCAGGTCCGGGCCGTCGGCCTCCTCAAAGGTGGTGGTCATCCTCGGCCAGAGTTGGAGGTCATCCTCCTTGTCACCATAAACATAGTACCTCACGAAGCCGAGGGCGGTCATGGGATGGGTGACCCCCTGGGAAGTTTCTCAGGGCGCGCATGAGTGAGGACAAAGTGCGCGGAAAAGGCTAGTGGCGGTTTGTGAGGACAGTATTAGAGGTCCAGAGTAACTACCTCGGGGCCTACGGGGCCGGGGTGTTACAAATGGTATCAGAGCAACCCTGCGACATTGTGCTGACCCGTTAGATATCGGGCGGGCACTTAGCGGGGCAAGATTCTGGGGTTTTATTGAGATTAGTTTAAGGGCGCAACGAGGACGTTGCGATCCTAAGTGGGGGTGATTGTAATACCCGAGATTAATTTAAGAGGATTAATAGTACTACTCATACCAACAGAGGTGCATCTCCTTTTCAGGGAGCTCATCACCCAAGAACTCCAAAGTTAAGCGTGCTTGCACGGGAGTAGTCTTGGGATGGGTGACCCCCTGGGAAGTTTCTCAGGGCGCGCATGAGTGAGGACAAAGTGCGCGGTAAAGGCTCGTGGTGGTTTGTGGGGACAGTACTAGAGGTCTAGAGTAACTACCTCGGGTCCGTGTGGGGCCCGGGGGTGTTACACCCCCCACCAACGGTCACTACACGTGGCACTCTCCCAATGGCCGCATCAACGGCCACCAATGGGAGGCCACCACGACACCAACGGGCCAGGCCCAAGCCACATCAACGGACTACTGGCAAATCAGACTCTACGGCCTACACACGCTCAACGGCTTTACAACTGCCAGCAAGCGCCCACAACGTCCCACTTACTCACCAAGATCACAAATGCCACACAATAAGAAGATGGCAACGGCCAGGTACGTGACGGCCACAGAACAAAGGGAACAAATAGCCCACAGCCTTCGGCTCCTCGTAATAACCCTTGATGATAACTCTCTACAAGCGATCTGCGCACAAGGGTTCTCCCACAGGGTTACCTTGGCCAGAAAATCGCCATGAGAGTTGGATTCAGGGGGACTACGGCGAGACCGCTTCGGCCAGAGACTCAAGCAACTCCTTCACCCCTCACACTCTTCGGCCTGAAGCAGTGGGGGACTGGGGGACTACACCGGCCTCAACAAAACAAAAGAGTGCGAACAAGGTAACCACAAAGCATGGCCACATCATCCATACAGCACAACGGAACTTCATCGGCCAAAGGCCCATAACGTCACTAGCAACGGCCAAACAAGCCACTAGAGGCAAGGACACTCATCGTCCTTTGCTAACAGAATCTTGACGGGCTCTTCGGCCAAAAACACGAAGGCCAACCAGCAACGGCCAAAAGGAGTGCGCAAACACCCTCATCGGCCGCATAAAGGAAATAAGGCCATCGTCTTCAAAGCAAGGAACAACCCCAACGGCTACACCGGCCCAAACATAAACTTCAACCACCAACGTCCAGGAAAGGGAAAGCGTGCCTTCAACGTCCACCATTGAAGGAAGGACAGTCATCGTCCCAAAACAAATTAAGGAAACAACGGCCTCCCCGCCCACGGCAAGGAACAGGTAACGGCCAAAGCACAGAACAGGATCACCAAAGAGGAAACAACGCCAACGCCGCAACGACTAACGGCCTGGAAATGCCCGCGTCGGCCAAAAGCAACAAAGCACAGAAATCTACTCTCCTTCACTTCGTCTACGTCTCAGCTTAGAGAGTGGGGGACTCCTGATGGAGTATATGAGTCTGAGCCCCAGGACCCACATACTCGGAAGACCTCCCAGAATCAAGTCCTACACTTACTCATTTGTACAGCCCATTAGAGGCTTTGTATTCGGCCCAGTAGCGGTCCAGTTGTAAATGGGCCTCCCAAGCTCAAGGCTTGGGAGCCCAACCCTAATTTTCTCTATAAATACTCCCCTTGGGAGTAGTTATAGGGGGTACAAATTCATTCTATTGAAGCATATTATTGCACTTCTCTCTCTAGCTCTCACTTCTCTCTAGAATCTAGGAGTTAATACTCTATCGATTATTATTAGGATGTTTTTACTTTGACTGTAATTTGCTGGTCTGGTCTGTTCTGGTCTGGTCTGTTTTAGTCTGGTCTGGTCTTGGATGAATTACCGTCTAAGTAAAAACAACCTTATTGTTGTTGTTGTTGTTATTGTTATTATTATTATTATTATTATTATTGTTATTGTTATTATTATTTGTAATTATAAATGAATAAAATAAAATTATTTATGGATAATAAAAAAATAAAATCTTTATGCAAAAAATACAAAAAATAAAATTCCAGATCAGACCAGACTTTATCAAACCAGACCAAAACATACCAGACTAGACTAGACTAGACTAGACCAGACTAGATTACTGTCCAAGTAAAAACATCCATAATACACAATAATCACTAGAATTTGAGGGGTGCAAATTCAAGTCGATAAAAATGAGGGGCCAGAGAGGGGGGCTAAGTGAAATTCTTTCGAAATGGGTGGCAAAATTAAAACAGAGCAAGTTATTCTCTCCACAGAAACCCTTCACGCTCATTGGCACTTCTCTCTGCGCTCGCTAGGGTTCTTACTCAACTTAGATTCAATTAAAGGTTTGTCTAAGATTTTTGTACTCGATTTCATCTCTTACAAGTGGCTTTATTTGCATATATGCTTATTCGCGCATGCTTCCTTGTGTTTATCTTCAACTCTTAAAACATCTCCTTACTCTAACTCTAAGACTCTAAGTAATAGCTAAAGACAATGTTTTTCTTTCTAGGAAATACATGACATTTCGGATTGATGTTTTTTGTAACCCTTATTTTTTACTTGCTGATGGTTAAGCTATTGGATTGATCTTTTGTGTAATTTTACTGGTTTATTTGTCACAGATGAATGTAGAGAAGCTTCAAAGGATGGCTGGTTCAGTCAGGACAGGTGGCAAGGGAACCGTGAGAAGGTTGGTTCATTTGTTTTGGTTTGAATTTCTCCTTAATTTTGTTTGTTCAAGTAAATAAATTCAATTTGAGCCGAGTGATATGCATATTTTAAAACACTGCGGAGAAATTATTTCAGTGTCATGTGATTTCCTACTATTTGTTATATAAAACAAGGGCCCATTTCCTCCTTTTAAAATTCAATGAGGGTAAAGATGTTTTTTTACCTGTTGTTTGCCAGTTTTCTTTTTCACTTTTATTCAAGTAAGGAGAATAGTCAAGACTATGTTACCATTTGCAGTCTATTATCTGAGAATGTTTATTTGTGTACTACACCAGAAAGAAGAAGGCAGTTCACAAGACAAATACAACTGATGATAAAAGGCTTCAAAGCACACTTAAGAGAATAGGTGTGAATTCCATTCCTGCCATAGAAGAGTTGAACATATTCAAGGAAGATGAAGTGATCCAATTCATTAATCCCAAAGGTATTAAAAGTGAAATGATGAGTACCAGATTCTCCTTTTTGTTATCCGTTTTACTAACTATTATTGTACATGTTTGTCTTTTCAGTCCAGGCTTCAATTGCTGCAAATACTTGGGTTGTCAGTGGGTCCCCTCAGACTAAGAGTATGTCGTCTCCACTTTTCATTTCTCAATATCAGCTTGAAAAAACTGTCTCTGTTTGCTAGGGATAATCAGTTTTCCATTTCCGTATCATAAAATATTTGTTTTGAATGGATTGTAATTGTTGAGGGTAATTTTATAAAGACACCATGCAACAGTCAGTCCATGCATATTTTGATGCGATTTTCACTATTGGTCATCCGGAAACAATCTCTCTGTGCTTTAGTATAGGGGTAAAACTGCGTACATCCGACCCCCTTACCCCACCGTAGGTGGGATCCTTTGCGACACAAGGGTAATGATGCTGATGATGATGATGAATTTTATATAGACACCGAACTCTTATAATTGCAACCTGGGCAGGCAATTATGTGCCCTTATGATGTGCCGATCAAAACACTAGGTGAAATGGCTGTGTAAGATCTTTGAGTGCAACAATATTCAAATGCTCTACGTGTGGTTCAGTTTTTTAGATGAATTTATTTACCCTTTAATAGCTTAAAATAATTCAATGACTATTAGGAAAAATACATCAATAATTAATATGAAGAGTTCTTTAACACTCAAATATGTCAAATCAGAGTAATGAGGCATGTCATTGTTGAGCTACTACAACCATTTCCTTTACATTTGTGAAAAACCACTATCCTTTTAAATCAATATTTGCTTTCCTCTTCCTCTGTTATCAATCTATAAAATCAGAGTTGCATCCACTTATCATATATTCAGATAATAGTGGTTTAGGGCATGTGGAATCAGTGCTCTATGAGGAAGAACAAGAAGAAGATCAGGAAAAGAATTGTTCAAAAAAGATTCTATCACCTAATGAGCACAAGTTATCTGTATGTGCCATTTGGAACATTTTCACTGTTCTCAAAAGTTGCTTTGGTTTCCATATGAAAAGTTCAGCTTCAGCACAGAATCCCACAACTTTTGGTTCCTAAATATTCTATAATATGTTGTTGTTCAAAGGCTCAAGCTTCATTTTTTCTCTCTTTTATAGAAAGGCTGGGGTTCCTCGCTTCATTTCAGGACATGTTTCTTTATTACACATGAAGTTGTGAATTTGTGATGCCTTTATATCAACTTTTTTTACGTGTAGAAAACAGTTGTAGCTTGAGTAGGCAAGCTCTCCAAGTTTGTTTTGGTTTCCTTTCATTTAATATCAAGCATTTTAATTTATAAAATGTTTTGATATTATATGAATGACTTAATGACAGATCTAGTGATGTGACAAGACTGCATTTCCAAATAATTCGTGTAGTTTTTATCTTGATTCTTTTGTTTCTATGCAAGTTGACATGATGATAATTGATTGTTAACAATTGCTTGCAGAATTGCAGGACATCCTACCGCAAATTATTAACCAATTAGGTATGCTGTACTTGCATTTTCTCCTCAAAGAATGCAGTGATAGAATGAATATCCTTTAATTACATGTTCACATATTTCTCTTTTAGGTCCTGATAACCTGGAGAACTTGAAAAAATTGGCAGAACACTTCCAAAAGCAACCTATCCCGGGTACTGTCGCAGCTGCTACTGAAGAAGATGATGATGATGTGCCTGAGCTGGTGGAAGGTGAAACCTTCGAAGAAGCCGCTGCAGTTGAGGATCATAAGTAAAACTCGGCTAGTTTTTGTGATTCGAGTACTTTTTTTATCATTATCTATGTTTCACCGCTGTTTATTAAAACAATGCTTGAACTCTACAAGTTTTGAATTCACTTTACCATATGTCCGATTGGTGTTCAGTATAATTGTAGGGTGCGTCAATAATTTATACTAAGAAATGCATTTTAACACAACCACAGTTGCTGACGTGCTGATGGTTACTCTATAGTCTATACTGGGGTATGTACCATGTCAAAGGGGCATACCCCAGTTAGCCAGCAAACACTAAATCTCCCATGTTAGACATAATAAATTGATGACATGTCACATACATGCACCATGCGTACGAACCAAACAGCTCTCCACCAAAGTCTCACACTCTCACATGATAACTCATTTATGTAGCTTGTTATTATCCTTTTTGTACTACATCACTATCCAGTAGTTTAGTTGTACTATATCACTATTATTACGTAGCTCCATTTAATGTATAACCGATCCATAGCTATCGGATATCAAGTGTACATTAGCTATATATATATTCAATGAATACAACACACAACCTTACGGTGAATATTATATCTTCCAACTTGGTATCAGAGCAATATTTTTTCTTTCATCCTCTACCATGGCTTCTCCTTCCAAAAGCTCTTTTCACCCCGCTCTAGCGATCACCTCCATAAAAAATTTAATTCCACTCATTCTTGACACCGAAAAAGTCCAGTATTCTTCTTGGGCGGAACTCTTCAAGATTACCGCCCGCTCATACGATGTTTTGGATCATATCATCCCTCCCAAGAAAACCCCCACCACCACTTCCGCTACAACAAATGACACCGCGGCCGGTGCCACCGACCCAGTCGATCCTCTTCTCTGGGATCGCTTGGACGCCGTTGTCCTCCAATGGATATATGGAACCATATCCCACGACCTCTTGCATAGCATACTTGAACCGGACTCTACGGCCATGGCAGCCTGGACCCGATTGGCTGCCATCTTTAAGGATAATAACAAGTTACGTAAATGAGTTATCATGTGAGACTTTGGTGGAGAGCTGTTTGGTTCGTACGCATGGTACATGCATGTGCATGTATGTGACATGTCATCAATTTATTATGTCTAACATCCCACACCTTACAAGTTACAACCTCCCACACCTTACAAGTTACAACCAGTGAGCTATATAATCAATCAACAACAAAAAAAGAGTCTCAAAGCCAACAACCAGACTGTCAAGGCTGCAGATCAGCAAAATATTACCAAACTAATCAAACACCATGTGATTTTTCTGTCAAAACACAATCATATCACGGGGATATAGCTTATACAAAATCTTATAACACACAATATTGATCTGTTTAATACTTTAATTATCTCATCCGGATCTGTTATGGCACCTGCAAAAATACCTTCATTTCTTGCTTTCCAAATTGTGTAACAGAGCATCTCAAGGCAATTCTCAGTTCTCACTGTTTTAATCATCAATCTTGCACCTGTAAACTTTTTGTAATGTACTTTACTGCCCGGTTTAGAGAAGATAATAGTCTCCTTAATCCGAGCCACCTACAAATGGTCCTCCATATATAACCAGAGACCGGGCGGTTGAAAAAGAGATGTTCAATTGTCTCCAAATGACTAGAGCACAAGGAACAAGTTTTGTCCCCTTCCGAAAATTGCAAACTTCCAGCGGTAGGTTATCTATTACGAAAACATAGCCACATTATAAATGAAAACCTGGGAGGCATATAACTCTTCCAAATAAACACATTCAAGGTTTGCAAAAACTTTTGATTCTAATCAAATCACATACTCCTCTTGGATTCAATTTAACATTCATAGTTAGTGATTCCAAGCCAGTGAGCATCTCTTGCTTATCACCAAACTTCCCAACCAAGGCTTCTTTAACTCTACCTAGGTGCTTAAGCAAATGTGACACTCTCTCATTTGGGTACCATTCCCAGATAGTCACCCTCTTAAGATAAACCTCATGGAACCAACGAATCCATAGCGAGTCCTTTTTAGAGTGTTTATTCCACAGTGTCTTTGCAAGCAAAGCAGAGTTCCACGTCTTATGTTCTTCAAGCCCCAGGTCTCCTTCCTCTTTCGGTTTGCAGATATCACACCAAGAAACCTTTCACATGTGGCAATAATTCTGTTGAGGACCGTAGCCAGCAAGGAGAAGGATTGCAGCAAATAGGATTGCACTCCTTGGATTACATCCCTAATAAGTTCCGTTCTTCCTGCATATGACAAAGACTTGGACTTCCATCTTGTTACATATCCTTCAATCCTTTCGATTAATGGGGAGAATTGAGCCACAAAGACTCTTAGTGGAGCTAGAGGGATCCCAGATACCTTACTGGGAAAGAACCTTCTCTTATACCAGCGGACAAAATAATCTCCTCCTTAACAATATCATTGACACCTGCTACAAAAACATCAGATTTGGCTAAATTAGCTGTTAGCCATGACACCTCTCTTAGTTCTTCTAAGCAAACTAACAGAGATTATACTGAAATCAAGTCTCCTCTAGCAAAAAGCATGAGGTGGGAAATCCCCAGTTTGCTACACTTCGGATGAAAATTAAACTCAGGGTTTTAATAGCTAGCAACCCTAAGAGATATTCCATACAAATAATAAACGATGAAGGTGACATAGGGTCACCTTGCCTTAAACCCCTTGCTCCTTGAAAGAACCCATACCATAAGCCATTAATAGCTAGAGAGAAAGACACTTAGCACACACAGTCCATAACCCAACCAACAAATTGGCAACTTTAAAGCCTTCAATTTAAAGCATAACCTTTTCTACTCTCTTCCCAGGGTTGGTTTCCCCCATACGTCTTGCAAAATATCCCTGAAATTTGGAGATTTCAGCCACATGTTATATAATTTAAATGCTTTACATCCACCCACCTCATTCTGAACCAAAGAATTCAAGCCTTTACATACTACGGGAGGGAAGTAGTGATTTAAAAAGTACTATGGGAGTATTAGTTTCAAAATTTTCTCACCAACGTTAAGATTTAGAGCTTGTTTGGTTTGGGGATTTGGAGGTGGTGATTTTTTATTCTACTAATTTATCAAAATTAGTTAGTTTGAGAGTCCGTTCGGTGACATTGAAATTGGCGGAATCAGATTATTCTGCTGAAATTTATGAAATTTTGTCTTAAGTGTTTGTATTGACCGATTGTGCTCATTTATGAAAAAATTAAATTTAAAATATATTTTATTAATTAAATAAAGAAAAAATTATATGTAAAAATAGTTAAAATTGTCCTCTACAGTAACATCAGCTGAAACAACCAGAAAAATAACTCCAACCTTACTTTTTCTTATTATTACACATTCCAGCACGAGTGAAATTAAAAGTTACGTGTTTGATGAAAAAATTGACTGATAAATCTGATAAGCAGTGTTACCAAACGGGCTCTGAGACTACAAATTGTGAAATAACTTTATACTACTCCGTATGCAATTAGTTAGACCATGTGTGTGTGTGTGTGTGTGTGTATATATATATTGATGGAGTATATGGCTCGGGAACCCCCGACCCACAGACTCCTACTACTCCAGCGAAGGCCCAACAGGCCCAGAAGGCCCAACAGGCCCAAATCACAGCGCCCAAAGTACCAAGCAGCCCGCACTATGCGCCAGGGGTGCCTTCGGCCCCTTGGCCGAAGGCTCTAAACTCTCACAGAACGAGTTTCTCGAGCAAATTAAGAAACTGGTAGAATACGGCGAAAACAGTAGCCCTCGGCACTGTGAGCCATCGGCACCAGGGTGCCATCGGTTGGAGGAGCCCTCAACTACTGCTCTACAGCCGAAGGCATCTCACTCGACAAGATATCCGCCTCACATGCGTACAGATCACCGTACCCTGCACAGACGTCCCATCCAACAGCCGCATTAAATGCGGCCACATGCGGCTGCCAGCGCCAACCAGTTGAGGTGACCCCTCGGCCAATGAGCGCTTGACACGTGTCCCTGTCCGGCATTTATTGCTACTATAAATAGCACCCCATTTCCTCATTTGTAACCACGACATTCATACTGAATACACTCTCTCTCTACATTCACTTACTTGCTCTGACTTCTCTCTAAGTTGTTCCCCGCAATAACCCTTCAGATATATACCCCGGGTAGACTATCCATCATTTGGTGCTCTCGTTGAGAGGTTGAACAATCAAGTAAGAAACCCTCCCCCTTCGCCAAACACCAGCCCTCTACCAAAAATGGTGAGAACAACACGTGCCAACTCAAAGAACGTAGAAGACAAGAACCTGGCCCTCGGCGACGTCAACACCCCCGAAGCCTCTCACAGGGCTCCCGAGGGCGGTGTCATCGCTGGGCTGGAACAGGCGGCTGTCGACCTACGCCTTCAGATCCAACAAAATGCCCTCGATGCCCGCCTCGGCATCGAGGCCAAGAAGAAAAACCGGAGCGATGACCAAGTCAGCCCTCCGGTTCTCACCATCGACGTGCAATCGGCGCTCTCCGCCTTCATCCAAACGCTCACTCAGAACCCGGGTGCCTTCGGCACCCTGGCTCCGGCTCACCCCCAGGTGGGGGAAAACATCATACTTCCCCCTCCGCCACACCCCTTCGGAAATCCCACCCCTCGGGTGAGGAACGACGAAGGGGTAGTGGCCCAGGACACGTCCTCCCCGGAAGTACAGTCCCGGGATCACCACAATGACAACAGGGAGAGGCCTCGCACTTCCGCCCTCAACCGGCTCGGAGGAGGGCCAGACCGCCGAGGGGTCCAAGACCGCCTCGGAGGAAAGGCACTCCAAAGGCCTCAGGAAAGTGGAGGGTCTGTCTCGAGGGCAGACGAGGAGCGTCCCCCTCGGGACAAAGGCAAAGCACCCCTTCATGCCAATGATGCTCGCCACCAGATCAACCAGGCCCACTCAGCCCGGGTTCGTTCGCAGGGGGCGGAGACCCTCCCGAAGGATCCCCGGGACGAGGTTATTGCGGCCCTCCAACGCCGGCTTGACGAAATGGAGTCCAACAAAGCTCACGCCACCACCTCCACCCCTCACTCAGACCTCAAATACGAGGCCATGATGGCCAAAATGGAGGAATTACAGAAGAAGGTGGCCGAGGGCTCCGGGGAACCCGTCATCCAGCTCCGGACTCGGACGCCATTTACCCCAAGGGTATTGGTGGCCCGGATCCCGGAAAAGTACCGAGGGCAACACATACAGCCCTATAAC